AAGCATGTTCCCATGGGAGCCAGTGGGAGCACAATTCTCCCAAGGCCTCCCATTCTCCCTTCCTTGGCGGGAGCATGGCTCTTGGCGGGAGCACACGTCACGTGATCACCGCGGGGTTGTCGTCGTGCCTTTGGTGTCATCCTGAGTGGTTCTCCAACCACTCGCCATTCCAACAAGGGAAGAATCCTTCTGCTTGTTACTTGTAACACACAGTCCTTTATCACAGTGATCCAAATCAATCCTTGATCAGAAAAACCCTCACAGTCTGACACCTTCTTACACCCCCACCACTCCTCTACCTACAAAGAAAAGAGACACCAGGAGCTCTGGTATCACTACAACCATCATCTAGCTACTTAATTCAGTCCAAAATAAAAAAAAACTACAAAACCTCTACTCTATGAAAACATGTCAAGTATGCATACCTTTACCTACATCACCCCCACAACTACCTCTACTAACACCATCACTACTATCTTCACCGTCCTCTATCTCCAGCCACTCACTCGCCACAGTCTCTCTCTCTATATCTATGCACTTGATCCAACACTCTCCAACACAAACACGAGTATAAAAAACTACGAAAACTACAATCTAATATCCCACAGCCAGTAACGGTGTAAAGACGCCTCTATCAGATTACACAGCATACGACAGTGTACATTAGTATCACTATGTATGCATTACAATCCAAAACTCACCTTGCATGCATAGTCTAAATAGTCTCTAAAAACATCATGCCTATATATATATATATGTACTGTGTAACATTTGTAACAATTTATTTCATTTCTCTACCTCATGCGCGAGCATTGCCCATCTGTGCAAAAGGCGCGCGCGGCCAACAGGTCATACGACATATTGGGCACAACCCCCCCTGCCTTTCTGAGGAAAACAAACCGCTCGTCTTTTTTTATTTATACATGGTTTCCCCCCTCCCCTACCACACATTTTTTTTCTTTGCCCACCCCCCCATTTGTGCCACCACCTCCGCCTTTGATCAATCAATGGTACCCATGTGTGTGTGTGTGCGACAAAGACCCCCATATAGTAAACATCACAATGAGCCAGCCCCATGACACACCGATCCTTTCCTTCCAGCCTGTGTGATGACCAGGAGGTGCGTGCAACAAGACCGAGAGAGAGAGAGAGAGAGAGAGAGAGGGAAGAAAGAAGAAAAAAAAGGAAAAAAAAAGACAAAACAAAGACAAAACGCAGCCCGCTTGGTGTACCGCGATATTTTGTGTTGAAAAACACCCCCAGAGGAAAACCCGAACAGACCCGAGAGAAAACAAAAAAAAACTCCAATGTCGATGCGATAACATGCATGTGTCTCGCGCATGAAGAAGTCAATAACGCCGTTCAGATGGAAGCAAACAAAGAGCTCTCTGCGCGACCGCGTCGTTGCGCGCCGCCGAGTATGACAGCATTGTCAACGAGATAAGGCCACATGAGCAACAGTGGCATGATAGTTTTTTCCCCTTTTTTTTTCTTGTACAATTTCATGATTTTATTCCTTCATGCAGACGCCATCTGACGGAAACATGGTGTGGCTTCGCAGTACCGAGGTGTAGAGACAGCCGACATTGATGCCGAGCCACAGCAAATTTCCCGTCGATATTTTCCAGGTATCCAAAAACAAGGAGTGCGTCATTGAGAATCGAGGCAACGTGCGTGAATCCAAACAACATCAGCAGTGTCCTAACCGCCTTTGCGATCAGCAGCATTAGCTGGCAACGGCTCGCCCATGGCCTTTTGCTCTGGCGCCCTTGGCTTCTTGTTCTTCCCCTTCTTACGGGGAGCTTGCTGCTGCCAAGAGCTGGGACTAGAGTTTCCTGCATTCGACTTGTTTGTGCGCTCGTGATTTTGCGTGGGCTTTTGCTGCTGGCCATTACGGTTGTCCTTGGCATTGCCGTTGGACCCACCCGTAAGCGATGAGCGACGATGCTGGTTACTTGACTTTGCTTGTGCCTTGTGTCCGTTGTTGCCGTTCACAAGCTTGCCGAGGTCAGAGGATCGCGTGGCAGTCGGCGACGGCGTGCGCGTCTCAAATACTGGCGACAGCAGTGGTATGGTTGCAGACTTGACCTCCTGGGGGTGAGCGCGTTGCACGTTGGACGTTTCCAGAGGAGGAAGACCATTGGTATATGCAGGTGCAGCCCACTGAGACTGAGGAGCCGCGCGGGTTGGCGATATCTCTTCACTGCGGTCGCTAGGGTGGCCATTGGAGGCGTCGTAGTTTACCCAGGCGTCGCCGAGTATGGGAAATGGCTGGCCCTCGGCAGACGTGCGCGGTATGCCATTCGAATCAATGGGCGCGTGGCCGTTGATGGACCCGTTGACGATAGGAGGCGCCATGGTTTCTGCAGCCTTTTGCCTTTGCATCTCCTGAAGCACGATTTGCTGACGCGCTTGCAGCTGCTGGATTTGGTGTAGGGCCTGTTCACTGGCATACATGCCGAATGCAGCTTGAGGCGGCGTCTCCGGTGGAGCAGCATCGAACGTGTCTCCCCTAGGACGAGGCTGGGTTGGGAATGAGCCGTTGACTATGACTGGCCCGTTATCAACAGGCGCCGGCCGTACCGAGTCGACGCGAGACTTGCGCTGCTCAGTGGTCGCGTCGCTTGGTTGAGCAACACCAGTCGAGTAGCTTCGCATATGGCCTCCGAGTGGGGAAGGTGACCGTGTCACTCGCCGCAACGCAGTGTTCAAAAGAGGCTGCGTGATCTCTGGCGACACACGTCTGCGGCGCTGCGCCAGCTCGCTGAAAGATGGAATGGCCGAAACAGTGTAGTCTTGTAACGAACGGACGGGCTGTTGTGGTGGTTGCTGTGGCGGCTGCGGTGACTGCTGGGGTTGCTGCGGCTGTTGTGCCTGCTGCGGCTGCTCTGCTACATAGTAGCCTACATATTCCCTTGGCGAACTGTTATTCGAAGACGAAACCGACTCTTGTTGTACAGCCGCTGGGTTCATGGCGATATCCGGCGTCGTTTGCAGATTCGACATATCCTGCGTGGAGCGTGCGATGGGGTAACCCGCAAATGCTGCAGGGTCAATAAACTGAGGCATTGGCGGGTATCCTACAACGATAGGCTGCTGCGCAGCGCTGCGTGGCGGCTGCGAATGCGAACGAAGTGAGCTCGTTTCGCTGGCATTTGACGCGCGGTGGACACTCCGATGCACACCAGGCATACTGCTGCTCAAAGAGGGCGAAGATGGGTTTGTGCGTGATCCGTCCTGCGAGGCGTTTGGATCGGTCTGGGAAGGGCTGTAAAAGGCCGGGTAATGGTACAGAAAGCCCTGGGGAAGGGCGTTGGGCGGTATGCCACGCTCGGCCAACCGAGGGCTCTGACGGCCATTCACGTAGGGCGACTTTTGGGGTGATGCATTCGTGCTGTTGGGCGTACGTGCTTGTGCCTGTGCTTGTGCCTGTGCTTGAGCAACAGCATGGGCATGCATCTGCGCAGCCCTGACTTGGTGTGCTTGCTGGGCATGTTGCTGTGCGGCCAACTGGGCACGCAGCGAGTTTGACTGCATCTCCAACATCTGGTATTGCTGGTATAATTGGTCGTGCAGCTGGTCGTGAATACCCCTAGGGAAGCTAAAGTATTCTGGGCCCGCGCTCGCAGGGATAGGGGGGCTATGGAGGAATGGCGATCGGCCTTGGCTGTAATTCGAGCTGTTAGAAGAGCGCCTGCTTCCCCCATGCTGGCCCTTGAGGCTGAAACCGCCTCTACCTCCCCGCGGGTTCTGACTACCTCTTCCGTTGCGGTTTGGCACACTCGAGATGATTGCCTTTTGTGATTGTGGCTTCTTGAAGATGGCGTTTGACTTTTCTTCGGGCGGGTACTCAAACTGCTCGCAGACCTTGTCGAGCTGCTGGCCGTCTGCCAAAAGGTCAAAGGCGCGGCGTATCTCCAAATGTATACCACGCCACGCGTAGTCGTCTGCCGAATTTCCGAGATTGCGCTCAATGTTGAATGGTTCTTCCACGCAAAGACGGTTGACGCCCTCCTTTTGGCCGCCGCCCGGATGCCAGCCCTTTTCTTCTCTTGGTATGCGTTTGCCCTGGCGCACCGAGATTGTCTCCTTCTCGTAGTCCACCTCGTGTCCGTACAGTCGAAAAAAGTGAAAGAGCAACTGGCCCAAACTTTCCTTGTTCCCGTCTCCAAAGCCTTTTAGCTTTCCGACATCATCGGCGAAACTCGATAACGAAGGCTGGCCGGTCGTCTCGTCTCGCGCGCGTTGAGGAAGTTCATGCAGCGTGGGTAAGACGGGCGGATCCCGTGTTTGGAGGAAATTAAGTATCATGCAAATCCAGGTATACGAGCTGATTGTGCCACCAATGCCTGTCAAGTGTCAGCCACGAAGTATCGAGGAGCGCTAGATATTTACCCGCATCGTTCAGGATACGCCGTTTTGTCCAGTACTTGATGATCATGGCCAGGGGGCGCACACGATCGTCGAGTTGAATATATGTCTTGATCATGCGCGTATTCTCGATTGCGGCAACGTTGTTCACGTTGATGTCGCAGGCGAGCTGCAGCTCAGGATCCCAGACTTTTACTATCCGGACCTTGGCCGCTGGTATACAGACAACACGTTCCATGCCATCTGCGGACGTTAGCAGGCAATTTAGTTCAAAGCAAGTGCTCGCACCACGTACGTTTGTCGAGAGCCTCGGCCAACGGGTGCATCTCCTCAAGCCTTTTCATGGGCGTTTGGATGCAAATATCGACTGTCGCGGTTAGCGCAAAAATCATTTTGTTTTTTTTAAAAAAAAAAGTTGGGCCATGGGAGTCGAGAGGCATACCATCGCTTTCGGACGTCCACAGCATGTTGCCCGAGGAGCCAAAGACATGGACCGTGATCTTGGTGCCTGGAAACTCGGTTTCCAAGATGCGCTGCACCTTTTTGACGAAGCGCTCACGCGTGTCCGTGTCTTGCTGCTTGGGCACTAACCGGTCGTACAGCTCGCGCATGTCACCGCTCAACTTGTCATCTTCGTGTGGATCCAAGCTCTTCTTGGGCTCGTCTTTTGCCTTTTCCAGAATCTCGTCGGACTGGTAAGGCATTCGTCTCCGGCCCAGCATGCCGACGTTTGTCTCGAACCTGCACTTGAAGGGGCGGGCGGGCCTGAGCGTGGGCATGGAGCCGTTTGCTTCGGAGGACACGGAGCGCGGCGAATGGCTGCCGAGGCCGCCGTTGGGCGAGGGCGAGCGGGAGCGCGTGTTGTATTTGCGGGCGACCTGCAGGGGTGTCGAGGGGACCGAGTTGGAGTGGTGCGAGACAATCGAGGGGCGCTGGCTGCGCGTGGGCAAGGGCGGGTCGGTGTGTGGCGGCGGTGCGGCAGCAGCAGCAGCGGCGGCGGCGTCTTGGTGGTTGGTGGCCATGTTGGATGCACTGGAGGATGTCACCGTGGGCGCGCTGTTGGGCACGCTACACTTTGTATCCCTATGCCCATCTGTGGTATCGGTGTGTGCCTGTGCCGTCTTGACGGGAGGCTTCTTGGAAAGGGTGCGGCCTGAGTCCCGCTGGGGCGGCGGGCTCAGCGAGTGGGGAGACACAATTACGGCGGGGAAGGGTGTGTGGGAGACGGACTGGTGGACTTCGTCGATGCGCGCGAGCTGCAGGAAGGGGTGCAGCAGCAGGTAGGGGGGCACTTGGGCGTAGTGGACGTGGGGATGCAGGCGGAGGGGCTGGTGCGAGAGGGCGGCGGCGTGGTCTTTTGTGCGGCGGACGTCGGAATGAATGGGCTGTGGATGGTCGAGGTAAAGATACTGCGGCGGGTGGTGATGGCGGCGGTCGGTCATAAACTTTGATGGCCGAAAGGGAGGGACGTGTCGGGGAGGGGCGACTGCAGGAGCAGACGCAGGCGCAGGCGCGGTGCAGTTGTTGCAGTTGGCGTCGCAGTGGTGGTGGTGGTGGTGGTGCTCGTACTGGTGGGTGCACTGCGGGAGCGGAGTTGCCAGGGGTGCTGAGCGAAAGGGGGGAGGGGGGGGTTGTTTAGAGGGGGGCGGGAGAGGAAGAAGAGGGAGGCGAGGAGGAATGCTTCCAGAGCAGGTCGGGGGCAGTGAGCGAGCGTGGAGCAGTAGGTAAGTGGGTGGGCGAGGGAGGGCGGGCAGCAGCAAGTGCAAGCAGGCACGCACAGCACAAGAGAGTACTGGCACTGGCGAATTCGGCGGCGAGGGAGGTGGTGGGTGCCGATGCGAGAACCCCTGCTGGGAGAGGCGTCTCCAAACGATTCGCTGCAACGGATAAGAGGGGGGGAGGGCGGCGCTAATCAATCAACGGGGCCAGGCGCAGGAGCTGGGGCGAGGGCGAGGGCGAGGGCGGGGGCGAGGAGACGCGGTGCAGGGCGGGAGAACAAGAGAGAGAGAGAGGGAGGGAGGGAGGCAGAGGGAGAGAGGCGGGTCGAGTCGAGTCGACGAGGGAGTTTGGTGAGGGAGGTTATGCCACAGGGCAGAGGGCAGCGAGCAGAGCAGTGCAGGGCAGCGCAGTGCAGGTGCAGGCACAGGTGCAGGCGCAGGTGCAGGCGTGCATGGGGCGTAGAGGCTTGGGCTTAGGCATGCTGGGCTGGGCTGGCGGGCTGGCGGGCTGGCGGACTGGCGGGCCATGGCCATGGGGGGCGTGGGTAGGGAAGAGCCCCGAGCGCTGCGTCTAGAGCCCTTTTGGGCCGGCGCGCGCCTGTGCCGTTGGCTGCACCAGTTCGCGACGGCTGCCAGGGGCCCGACAATAATCAGAACAGTAATATCCCTCTCCTGGTCTGCCAGGTCGCCGCCCCCGCCCAGCCTTGCTCTGTGTCTGTCCATCTATCAGTGCGGAAACATCTACAACAAGAATTGCTTGTTGCCGCACCGCTTGCCCCAACGCCCGCTCCACCACCCACCGCTACCACGCCCGTCACCACGACGTGGGTGCCCTGCCGCGCGCTCGGAGCACAACAGAACAAGGGAAAAAGCACACGCACACGCCACGGCCCTTCAGTCTAATGCGACTACGACTACGGAGGTGCCTCACAAAAGTTTTGTCCCACGCTAATCTCGGCGCTTCGGCATAACTCTTCTTGGCGCAACTCCCACCTTTGAGCTGAGTAGCTGTACGATTTGTCTGTATCTATCGTTACAATGTCTCCTAATACTGATCCTTACACCCGCACCTTAATTGTGGCGTTAAAGTCACCTTCTGTTGGCAAGTCTACATCACAGATCTCTGAACTTACTGGTGTTCATCCTCGTACGGTCAATCGTATCTATAGTAGAGCTATTGAGGCTGGTTTCGAGCCAAACGTTCTCCCTCTTAAGATCCTCCCAGAGCACGTACAAGACGCCCCTCGCTCTGGCCGACCTTCAAAGCAGACGGATAAGGTAAAGGAGCAGATAATCCAACAAGTACGACGTGATAGATACGGACGAGAGAAGAGCTGCGCTGACGTTGCTGGTGCTCTCAGTCTTCAAGGAGTCAATATATCACGCACTACAGTCTGGAGAGTATTAAGAGAAGCAGGA